CGCGGGTGTTGCTGAGTGGATGAGACCCGCCGCCGACGGGTGCTGAGTCCGCATCTCCGAGACCCTTGAAGAGTCGCTTCCTGGGATGGTAAGCGTTGCCGAATCAGTCTCTTTCCAAAAAGAAATTCTTTTTGGGGGTACAAACCGTGTGAGATGTAGGCATTTCAAAATAGTCCTCCTTAAGAGGACTTTATGTAAGCTGATGACACCAGGGCTGGATTTCCAAGCGTGAACTTGACTTTCAGGCCTTTGGAGAGCTGAGTAGTTGGGGCGAGCGCGGCCGTGGGACCCGGGCAGAGCAGACTTGACTGAATAAATAACGCCTGTTTACACCAGCTGCTTTGGAGCGAGGAATTTCCTCCTGATAAATATTGTTTTTAGATGTATGCACACGAGGATGTGGATGTTTGCCAGAAGGGACAAAATCACTTTGCTTCTTTTTGTTTCTCCTTTTATTTGACAAGTTATTGGTCCTATGGACATTAGCATAATTCATTTTCTGCTACTATGGAGGGGGGTATAGAAGCGGTGTTCTAAGTTGGTTTCAGCAGAGACATGGGATCTAAGGTTGAATGATGCTGTCAGCCATTGAGAATATTTACAACTTCTCTCCACCCTCTCAGCTGATGCATTTAGAAATTGCGTATCAAGTGTATAGATGTGAATGCTATAAATGCTATATAGAAGTATTTTCAAATGTATGTAAGCTCTTATTTTTTTTAGAACGATTCTGAAAACAAGCATCCTATGTAACTAGTTGTGATATTGGGACCAACATGTGGAAAGAAAATAAGCAAGTAAAGTAGAAAAAAATTAAAGAGGCATATTATGATTATGATCATAATCCATGTTATAATTGACAGGTCGGTTTTTTAAAAAATAATTCTGCTTCTGTTCCATTCTAAGTATTATCATACAATTTTGTGTTTTACTGGTCATTTTCATAAGAAGGAAATGTGCTATAATCACAAAATCAATTATAACTAGGGGTTTAAAAAAGACTGTTGTGGTGGAAGCAAGCAATTGGGAGAAGCCAGTTAAACCTTTCCTTAGCTTATTTTTCCTTAGTTTGGTTATTGAGTATCAGTGACTTAAAATAAGATTTTAATTGCCCTAGGTGCCCACACTTACCCAAGAGACGGGATGATGCTTTCTGCAAGGGCCTCACCTTCTATCTTTGGCCAGGTTTCCCAATCTATGTTCAAGGAAATAATTGGGTCAAATTTGTGACTAATTACACCAAAACAGAATTTTCTCTCTCTCTCTTTCTTTCTTTTTTTATTTTTATTTTTGGGGAGGGGAGGGAGCCCCAAACATCTGTATAATTACACTTCAAATCTCTGCTTCCTTTCAGGAAGTACAGTATTTCCTTTGTTCAACCAACTCTTGCTGAAAGCAAGCAAATAGAGACACACCAGTTTCCTTTCCATTGAATTTTGGTTTATTTCAATCAGTCTTCTTTAGTCCATTAATTTCTGTTCTTATCTGAAGAGATGTAACATATATTTGGCATGTAACATGTATTTGACATACTTGCTTATTAAAATATACTGTAAATAATAGGGGGACTGTAAACATTAAGAAAATATATTTTTGGTTATGTTTAATAGCACATAGTGTGCTAGCATGAAAAAAAAATCTGTTCTTAAATGTCCTGCATCTTATTCTGTAGTCAAATAGTCTGTTTATATTAAAACAAGTGCTTCTTCTTACAAATCATTCTGAACCACAGGCCAACAACGTTTTCCCTGCCGTCCTAGGTGGTCTGGGAAGATTGCTGTGTGAATCATCTGTCTCCTGCTGCATACCAGCAGCAACAAGTATTGCAAGACTGATAGAAGATGATAATTGTTATTTATCTGTTTTGTCCTTAAGACTGCCCTAAACAAGTGAAGCCAGGGTTACATGGAGTTCAAATTTAATTGTAATATACTATCTTTTTTTAAAGCTTTGATAGCTTGGATGTAGCTCTTAGAAATCATGAAACGAAACAATCCAGACACATCAAGGAAGTGTTAATAACTCATTTGTGGATGCCAGGCAGGGAGGGCTTGGGTATTCACAGCAAATGCTAAATGAAAGTTTGCCAAAATTTAGTGAATTGATCGGTGTGAAATGCCAAGTAAATAAATAATGTGAAAATGTATTATCCAAATTGGTTGTTAGCTTTGATAAAATTAAGCACATAACAATAACCTCTCCATTTAAGGATGCGCCATAATGAGAAAAGAGTTTGTTTGGTGCTTTGCAAAGATATTCTTGGTGTTGGGCATACCTGAATATCCTTGACAGATGAGCTGTAGTGTAATGAAAGGGGCTTGTATAATTATACATCATTGTCCCAGGGAAAATTAGTGTTCTCCCTAGTTTCCTTTCAGTGTCACCTGGGAAGTTTGACTTCTCAGCATGGTTTTGTCATTTCTTGATTACTACTTTATGAATCACATCGAATGGAGCCATCATTTTCTGAGGTTCTAATTTCAGGTGTTTTTGAAAAAAAATCACAATTCGAATGTGAGTAAGGACATGAGGAGACTAAAGACCTTGGATTTTGCTGATCAGAATGAAACTGATGTTGAAAGACTTTTCAAATCTATTGTTGGTGATGCTCTGTGACTATGGTGAGTAATGTGAGTATTCTTAATGCTATAGGTAGCAAAAGAAACATAAATGTGAGGTCTGTAAATGTGTTGATGTGATAAAGGAGACAGGGTAGCATCTATAGTGCAGTACCTTTGAAACTTGCAACTCTTGATTCTCTTATGGGGCTTTAGGTGTACTGCATTATTCAAATTTTACTTTAAATATACCAGAGTGCCAAAAATGTATACACATTTTAAGAGATGTTATTTATGTATTACTTTTCAAAGTTGAATTGAATTATAGTAGCAACTCAAAAGATTATGTTAATCAGATTAATGCTAGCATCACCATGCGACAGGCAGGGCAATCAAAGAAAATGGCAGAAGAACAGTTGTCATTCGATGAGCTCAAGACCATTTTGAAGTGGTATTTGAAATTTGAGAACATTGTGGAAGTACAATGACAGTGGAGTCATGAGTATGCAACAGAACCTCCAACACACCTAACAACTGCACACATTCATAAGTTTCAGACACATAGTACTACTGTGTGTAATGTGCACAAGGGGAGATCTGGGAGACCTCACACAGCAAGTCCTGCAGTAGTTTGCCATAATCAGAAGTTTCTGGATGCTGATGATAACAACTTTGAGCACCTCTCTTGTGATTGCAGAAGTCAAACGTGACTTGTATTCAACTTTTGTTATCAGTATATGTTGAGTATTACAATTTTAATAGTTTCTTTCCTTTCTTAAAATGTGTATACATTTTTTGGTACACTTTGTATTTTTAACTCTTTTACAAAAATAATAATAATAATAAACTCCAATTTTAACAAATTGGAGACAGGTATGTTACAAAATAATAGGCCGGGCTCAGTGACTCAACCTGTAAACCCAGCACTTTGGGAGGCCGAGGCGAGTGGATTGCCTGAGCCCACAGGTTAGAGACCATCCCGGGCAACTTGGCAAGACTTCATCTCTACAATAAACAAAAAAAAAAAAAATTAGGCACAGTAGTATGTGCCTGTAGTTCCAGCTACTTGGAAGGCTAAGGCGGAAGGATCGCCAGAGCCCAGCAGGTGGATGCTGGGGTGGCCATGAGCGTGCCACTGCACTCCAGCCTGGGTGATGGAGGAGACTACAACTCAAAAAAAAAAAGAAAGGAAAACTAAGTCCCATTTTAACAAATTGGAGACAAGTATGTTACCTTGAGTTATCTGATTGATTTCCCAGTAATTCAATATAATAAAACTCATACCCACACACACACACAATGATGTTTTGTATATTGAGGTTCTGCATAATATTTTACTTGACAAGAGTTTTGGTGCTAAGGTATCTTTGGAATTGCTCTGAATTTCAGTTCTTGATAGTTATGTGTTCCCAGACAAGTTTCTTAGTATCTTAACAATAATATTCACTTCACAGAGTTATTATGATAAAATAAAATCAAGAATGTAAAACATCATGAATATTTGAGTGAAAGTAGGTGCTTAAAGTGAATTCTCTTCATTCAGTTTCAACTAAAAACAGTTCATTTCTCAGAGAGTTTTACACAACTACTGAGTCAACAAGATTATAACATAACCTTCACTGCTTTTATTTTTTATGATTTCCAAATATTTCATAGATATCTAAGCAGTTGATGGTATGGGAGTGGATGTTATTTTCAAATTTGATGGAGAAAAATTGTGATCAAAGACATAGAGAATGCTGGTTTGTGTAGTATCAGTGACACAGCCAGTTAAATGGAGGAGAGGGTGTACTTTTCATTTAATTAGATCTCTTCTCTCAGTCTTTTCTTCATGAAGAAGAAGTTTATTTAAACAAGAAGACACTTGATTTAAGGAAAATGAATATGAGATTTATTTATTTTAAAGTAATTTATCCCTACTTAAAAACAGATTGCTCTACACGTAATAGTTGTCTACAAAAAATTGTGTCCTTGGTTTCATAATAACAAAAAAGTTGAAATTCTCAATTTTTTTTTTTTTTTTTGAGACAGTCTCATCTGTTGCCCAGACTGGAGTGAAGTGGCATGATCATGGCTCACTTCAGCCTTGACTCCTGGACTCAAGCACTCCTTCTACTTCAGCCTCCTGAGTAGCTGGGACTACAGGTGTGAACCACCACACCAGGCAATTTTTTTTTTTCAATTTGTGTAGAGATGAGGTCTTGCTATGTTACCAAGGCTGGTCTTGAACTCCTGGGCTCCTGCAGTCCTCGTACCTTGGCCTCTCAGAGTGCTGGGGCTATAGGTGTGAGCCACCATGTCTATCCTGAAATTCTCAATTTAAACAAAATATGCAAAGATGTTTGTTGCTGTTAAGAGCAAAAAATTACTGGAATAAAAAATAAAAGTTGAAAGAGCATAAAACAGCACAGAAGTTGAGTACACAGGCCACTAATTGCAAATAAGCTATTTTAATAGATCTGGGTTTTTTCACCTTCATCTCCACTTGATATTGATCAAATTATACCATTACCAGTTGTTTGTCTTTTTTTAAAACAACACGCTTATTTAGAAACACCAGTTTCTTCGAGTACAATAAGGAAATGGAGAGAAGGGAAATGAAATAGAGAAAACTATACTATTTGGTAGAATCAAATTGTAGTTTTCTAAATAAGAATGTATTATTGTCTGTATGCACAAGAGTGCTAGAGTAAAGTAGCAAAAAGTAGCAAATTCTCTCTTTAGTACACACCTTCTATCTGCGGCTGCTGGAGTCCATCAGTTGCATCTTTTTTCTTCATTTCCAAGTGGGCATGTGTATCTCTTTCACTGGTGTGTTCCCATCAAATCAAAATCTGATTTGCGTCATTGACAATCCTTGTCATTCACAATAGACTTTCATTAGTTAACCAAATAGTATATGCATACATGCCTCTTATTAAGTGCACCAGAGAACCATCCTGCCCCCGTGGATTCAAATGAATATGACTTTGTTCTTGGTCTTCACCCTCTCCTTGGGCTGTGGTGAGTGCAGGGTCTCTTTCGCCATTAGTTCAGTAAAGGTGCCAGGCTGGCTCTGCCAGCTGCACTAGGATCAGCCATCTTCCTCAAACTTGAGTGGTCTCTAGACAAAAGGCTATATCCCTCAACTTCGGTTATGCCTTAATGAAAAAAAAAAAGTTTATCCTATTAGAATTTCAGACAAGTAGCGATCAAGCATTCAAGTCTATCCAAGTTCTATATATTTTGTTTCACCTTATCCTAAATGAGAAACTTATCTTAAATGGTAAAGTGCTGAGCTAATAAAATTTTTAAAAACCGCTGTGTACCAGGATATTCATGTGCTGATTCTAATCATCATAGACTGAATACATATAAGGGTATTTTAAAGACTGCCAGCCCCTGAGAGCTAAGCTAGTGGTGCACAGGGTCATACACAGTGGTATAATAGACATTGGATACTCAGAAGAGGGAGGGCTGGAAATAGGTGAGGGATGAAGAACCACCTATTGGGTACAATGTACACTATTTGGGTTTCGTGTAAACTAAAAGCCCAGACTTTACCCCTATACAGTTCACCCATACAACTAAAAACCACTTGTACCCCTAAAGCTACTGAAATATCAAAATAAAAAATAAATGACTCATACAAAATTGACCATAATAATTGATTGGTAATACATTGACACATTAATAAGGTGATGATTTGTCATTGATAATGAAACAAAATACACAAGGTCAGTTTTTTTTCCAAAGAGAAGGTATTATATAACATGGGCAAAAGAACTATGAAAAATAAATACTATTAACGTGTGAGGTATTATGTTTAAATTCATTTATGTTAAAATGTCAAACACATCAGACTGTGTATCTTATTAGGCAATCTGCAGTTTAAAATCACATCAGTTTTCTCAGGGAACGACTTTCAAGACTATGCTAAGCTATTTTTTCTGATCTGTTGATTCCCAGGACTGGAATATTCTATCGCATTCTCTCTGCTCACCTAAATTCCACTGGTTTACCTATGATTATATTATTATATGCCTCTTCTGCTAATTTTTCTTCGTAAATGTGAAGAAATATCTCCTAACTTAGAAGGATAAAAACAAAACAAAACAAATTGCAACTTTGGAACAACTAAGGAATATCCAGATGCTAAAAAATATATGAAAAAACATGTTTAAAAAAAGACGATCAGCCCAAACAACGTAAGAGTCCCTTTGGACATATAATGTGATATACATATATTTTATATGTATGAGGTATATATAATAATAATAAATTCATGCTTATGCAAGTTTTTTGCAAACCTAAAAGATACTGCAGTCCCTTAAATTTAGAATTGTTTCTTTAGCCATTGGCCAGCTGATTGTTGTGTTGCCAAATTCTGCCTCCTTTGATATGTATTTGGACAGGGATCAAGACAGAAACAAGGGTTCTTATGTATCTATGTTCTTGCCCTCTTCATTTTGGCTGCTCTACTGGGTCTCTTTTAAAAAGATATAATTGATCCTAACTGAATGATACCTAGGAAGCTACCAGTCATCTATTTAGACCAATACCAGTTGCTGTAGTACCATTAAAATTGCCAAAGACAAACCTACTTATTTCATAAGCATTCACTCTATTTCTTGGGCAACCCATGCAGAATAAAGTGTCAATATTTCTCATCCACACTATTTCTATTACTGGTAAAAATTCCCAAGCACTTCTCTTGAATATCAGAAAATAATAACTTTGAAGTAAGTTCAAGGTCTTACACTTAAAATATTCTAGAGCAGTTTGTATTGTTATTTAAATTAGGCTTTCTCTTACTTCACTGTATATTCATTTCCCTCAAATACCAAAGTATGGTTAAGATGAAAAATGTGAAGTACTGGATTTTCTTTGTCCTGAGAACTGTCAATTCTAGCTCTAGATTTTCACTGCAGATATATTATATTGTTGAGTGTTGAGAATTCAGAGTATTTATCACTAATTAGTTATTTTAAACACAACCATGAAACATGAAGTTGAAGGAACAGAGCCATTTTAGAATGGAAAGAACACCATGCCCAACTTCCAGGACCTGTACTCCATCTGTATTTTACAACATCCTTGGCTCAGTTCTAACTTCTCTTCTGTTTAACATGCTGTTTTATTCAGTGTCACCAATAGTGCTATTCAAATGCACCTTTTGAAAACCAATTCTGACCATTTTGTTTCAGTTCTTGGAGAAGCTGAATATCTGCTCTTGGGAGAGCCAGGCCATGTAGCGCTAAGCAACAACACAGTGTCTGTGGATTTCCAGTATTTTGATGATGCTAATGAAACGCTAAGAAATGTTTCTGTCCTACTGTTGGATGCCAGCACCAATCAGACTGTTACCACCAAGTACCTCCTGACCAACCAGTCCCAGGGAACACTCCAATTTGAGTGCTTCTATTTTAAGGAGGCTGGTGACTACTGGTTCACAATGTCTCCAGAAGTGACAGATAATAGCACTCCAGTTCCCTGGTGGGAAAAAAGTGCCCTTCTGAAAGTAGAATGGCCTGTCTTTCATATTGACTTGAATAGGACCTCCAAGGCAGCAGAAGGCACCTTCCAGGTGGGCCTATTTACCAATCAACCACTATGCCTGTTTCCTGTGGACAAGCCTGACTTGGTAGTAGATGTCATCTTCACCAACAGTCTTCCTGAGTCAAGAACAAGTCCAGGACAGCCGCTGGAAATAAGAACCAGCAAAACGACAGAACTTGCTCAAAGTCAGTGGGTTGAGTTTGGCTGTGCACCAGTAGGACCAGAAGCCTATGTTACTGTGTTGCTGAAGCTGCTTGGGCGAGACTCAGTCATTACCTCCACAGGACCCATTGACCTGGCCCAGAAATTTGGATACAAACTAGTAACGGTGCCAGAACTCATATGTGAGTCTGGTGTGGAGGTGATGGTGATGCCTCCCCCGTGCATTTTTGTCCAAGGGGTGGTCGCTGTCTTCAAGGAGGCCCCCAGACGCCCTGGGGAGAGGACCATTCAGCTGGCTGAAAACAGCCTGCCTCTAGGAGAGAGGAGAACAGTATTTAACTGTACTTTGTTTGACATGGGGAAGAATAAATACTGCTTTGACTTTGGCATTTCAAGCAGAAGCCATTATTCCACAAAGGAGAAGGAGTGCATGCTAATTCAGAGAAATATGGGTTGGTATTGAGATTTTTAAATAATGTTTTTATCAGTTCAGTGTCTTCATGTAATCAAAATGATTATTTAGGATTTAGGTGAATTTTAGGTGAATTGTATCATTATTTTTATGGTTCACTCCCTATAATGTACCAATTGGCATTATCATACTTATCTGAAAAATTAATAGTATTGGTAAACCCACTTAACCTCTTTAGAACTCAGTTTCCCCATCAGTAAAATAGGGATCGTAAAAGTACCTACCTCAGAGTTGTGGGGATTGAATGAAGTAAACATGCAATGCTCTTAGTGTACTGCCTGGCATGTAGGAAGTGCTCGATAAACATTAGCAATTGTTATATTAATATATTTTAAATATATATTATATATAATATATATTGTATATGTGTAACATATAACATGCATTATATAATATAATAATAATTACATAATATATATTATAAAGATAAGTCCATGACAGAAATTATTGGAATTCAAGACTAAATTTCAAATTGTCTTTAGTAATTTCTGTCTTTCTCTAGCTGAGTATGTCTCTTTTCTCTTAAGTCATCCTTATAGGAATGAAGCCTCCTCCTTAGTGTGAAACCAAAACAAGATTCCTAAAAACCTATTCAGATTCTGTATTCCTTGTGTAGTGCCCTACCAGATCACAAGGAGCAGGTTGGGACAATTCCATCCACCCCCCACCCCCACTCTGCTCTTTGCACTTCTTTTCCTTTTCCTGGAGTCAGCCTGGTCTTAGCAAGTGCTTTAATTTGGCAGAGATGGTCCGGTTCGCTTCCCTGTTGTTTTCTCTTATCCCCACTAAGGCCAGAGGCCCCTGACTGCACATGCCTCTGACTGTGCTTGTCTGTAACCCTAAGTGTTTCTTGCTCCAATTTTACCCACTTGGTTTCTTCAGAAGTCTCTTCCTTTGGCCCTCTCCCCTGCCAGGCTACTTCTCTGCATTCACTCCCCTCTCCCCAGCCTAGATTCCATGGCCCCTTCCTTTTACCACCCTCCTACCAGTATCCTAAACTCCTTTGCCCCCATTGTCCTTCCGATGCACCTGCCAGGTCACACCCCAGCTCTGCATGACTTCAACCATCTGCCAGCCGCCCACTGAACCCAGGCTGCATGGCAATCTCACACCCAGGCAGATTAGTGTCACTATTTGTGGATCATGCCTCCACCCTCCACAGGGCCTGTGTGCTGCCCAGCATGTCACCCTGGCCAGGTCATGCTCCGGTTTTGCACAACAGCCCTTGCAGACATCCTCCGCTCCCCACAAACCTCAACCCCTGCCCACAGGTTAACTCTGAGTTGACTTTGCCAACCAGCACATAGAGCAGCTGGAAGCTGTTAGGCAGGAACTCCACACCCTCCCACTAGAAGATCTGTAAGCCAATATGTGTCAGACCCAGCCTCTCCCCTTCGGTCTTGTAGACATGGAAGAGGTGTTATTCCTCCCTCCACTATGGATCTCAGCCCCTCTGCTCATTTGAGGAACCTTCTGTTAGTCATCATCTCCCTCTCTCTCCTATCTTTAACTGTCCTTTCCTTACTGGTTTATTCTCATCAGCTTTGAATTGTACTTAATTCTCTTATCTCAAAACAAAGCAAAAACCCCTCAACCATGTGCTCTCCCCCTGACATAGCCCTCTTTCTTTCTTCACTTTATAGCCCCAAAACTGTTCTTGAAAAGTTGTCTACACTTTAGGGTTCATTTCTTTAACTGTCATTGGATTTTCAACCCACTGTAAAATTGCTTCCACCCCCCCCACCACTTTCGGTGAAAATGTTTTCACCAAAGCAGCAGAGAATGAGCTGCAGGTCCCCAAATCCAGGGTCATTTCAGTCCCTGTCTTCATTGATCTTAGTTCTAGGACGCCACACTCGCCTTGCTCACTTCCCACCTCCCTGGCTGTTCCTTCACCGCCTCATGTCATTGGGTGCTGGTCATCTTCTCTTTTCACACACTTGCCAGGTGATTAGGCTTGATGCTAATGACTACAGACGGCATCTCTCCCCTGTTTTTCCCCTCAATCCAAGTGCTATGGAATAGCTGGCATCCTTCAGATGTCTCCCAGGCACCTCAAAGGCAGCATGTCTGGAATTGGACTCATCATTGTACCCCAACACTGCTTCTCAGAGTAAGACTGTGCCATCCACAGCAGAAATTAAAAACCGGGAGTCATGCTCTTCTTCACCTCCTGGAAACAATACATCACTGAGCCCTACAGCTTTATCTCCTGGGTGTCCATTTCTTCCCAGTTCCACTGACGCCATTTGGGTTAAGCCTGCATCACCCCTTACCTGCTCTCTTGCAGCAGATTTCTAATTGGCTCCCACCCATCCACGTCTTTCTCTCACTGTAGACTGAGGGATTATTTGACATTCAGGTTGGCTGAGGCTATTCACCTGGTTAAAACCTTTCACTTCACTTGACTTGAGGCTGGGAATCCACAAGACTCTCCATGGTCAGGCTGCCACTCTGCATTTATCATCTCTGGGCTGGGGCCTGGGCCACACTCCTACTTCCCCTGGTTAACATTAATTCATCCTCCAAGTCTTCACTTGAGTTGTTCTCTTGACCTCAAGCTGGTTCAATTCCTTTGTCGTACACTGTCTCAGTATCCTTTAGTGCCTCTTTCATGTCAGCTATCACTTTCTGCCATTGCTTGTTTAATGTCCTTCTCCCTCTGCTGTTTGATGGTCTTCCCTCCCCCCAAGCAGATGGAGGAAGCTCATTTGGTGGCAAAACTCAACTCGTGCTGCCATGAAGCTTTTAAAGGTCTTTATTTGGCCCACTTAGTATGCCTGACACATTAGGTCCTCAAAACATGTTTATTAAAGTGAAAATTGAACTCAGGTCTCAACTAGGTATTAGGAATAAAACAATTTGAGCTAATCTAATCATCTAATTCATTCTTGCCTTTTCAAAAAAAATACTTGTTCGGGGAGAAAAAAGTCTGAATTTAATAGAAATGAACCAAAGGAAGTCAAGAAATTTGGACCATTTGATTAAAGACCAACAAGGGACTACCTTGTTGGTTTTCTAACTGCTGGGTATTCCATAGATGCTTCCATTTGATGTCTAAAGACTGGGGTTTGAAAACCCACAGCAACAGTACAGAAGGATGCTGGGAAGGGGCATAACAGGAGTGGTTCTGTGAGTGTCCAGATTGAGGGTGGTCAGGGGCTACCTGTGGGGCTACCCTTGAAGCAACTTCTAGACACAACCACACAGTGGGGCTGGGAGAAGTAACTGGAGGAGCCAAACATGCCCAGAGACCCCTGATTCTCTGTGAGACAGAGCAGTCAGAGACTCTGTCGGGCTGAGAAATGAAATTTATGCTCAAGAAAGGAAACTCAGTGACTTCCTGTGTTATTGGTATATAAATTTATGACTGAACTTAGTTGTCTTTCCTCGTTTTCTATTTAGATTGATGGCTCTGACCAATGAAGAGTACCTTTTTTTGCCAAATGGCATCATTCAGGGACCTACTGTGACTTGTGGGAGCTGATGACTCAGACTGAATTTCTTATTAGTTTCTTTTGAAAAAGGAGTAATGTGTATTATATATTGGCTTATTTTTCCAAATATGTCTCAGGACCTAGGATAGTACTTAAACAACAATCTATAGCAAGTACATAAAGGATGTTGCCAAAAACGACTATGGTCTTTATCCCACTTAATAAGATAAATAACATTTATATAGTGATTACTTTGCACCAGGCACTGTTCTGAGTCCTTTATGTGTATTAACCCATTTCGTCCTCTTAACCTCTCTAGTTAGGTTCATTATACTGTCAATTTTATAGATGAAGAAATGGAGGCACAGAAAGGTTAAGTAATGTGCTTAGGATCAGTGGTGTTAATGTGGTACAGCCAGAACACAAACCCATGTTGCCTAGTTTGAAAGTTTGCTTTTACCACTATTCTATAACTGCCTTCCTTAAAATCAACTGTCAACACATGTATTCAATAATATAAAGCCTGTAGGTTGTACAAAAAAGGTTCTGTTTTTCTTCTTCAACCCACTGGTTCATCTTGTGCCACCCATCCCTCTTGGAAGACCCATAACCTCTTGGGAGTTCACTGGCCCAGTCATAAGCATGATTTGTTCAATATAAGTGAGCTTTGTTCTATGCAAAGAAAATCTGAGCAATGTATCCCAGGTGCCTTTGCTCCTACTCCTACTTCTTTATGTCCATAGAACTTTCTTATGAGCATGATTTGTTGAGTTGCTTTGGTTTCACGAGCAAAATGTCTTGCAGATGTGACTATTTCAAAGACTGTGATCCTTCAGATAGTCTTGGGGGCAAAAACAAATCTCCCTTTTTACATTTCAGACAATCATTCAGAATTAATATCCTCTATAATAGTCTGAAAGACATTTGGCCTCGCCAAACTGGTTTGTTATATAGTGTGAGCACATGCATGGACATCTAAACATGACAAAAAGAAACAGCCTTCCATTTGTGAAGGAAGACTCTTTGGAATGTTGGTCGTCTTGCTCTCCATTTCTTTAATACATGTACTATAGTTGTCTAATGAGTTTCTGTTTTGCCAAGTATTTTCCTTAAGGTTGTTAGCAGAGATCCTTGGGGATCAGATCAAATTACTTAAGCCATTTTAAAATTTTTTCTGGCTTAAATTTGATTATTGCTTTATTTGAGTCATTTCCTGTGTTTCCTGTTTGAGTAATTTGACTTAGAAATAAAGAGACATAAAAAGTAGCTTAAATGTTTATTTATTTTTTATTGTTAATTATCTTACAAGCTGTGATTTTACTTTCAGGGGAAAGAACTTTTTCAAAATGAGTTTTTTGACATAAATATTTATGCTTTTATCAAAGCTGATCTGATTCCGATCTCCACTAATGGAATTTTTGTTTTTGGTTTGACAAATGACTTTATGTATTTAAGTACATATATTTATATAAAGCAAAAGAAGAGCTCAGAAAGAATAACAAAAGTATTCTTAACTTTTATAATTCTACCTTTTGTGGTCTTAAATATGAGACAAAAGAAAAGGATAAACTATACATTGACATCATTTTCTTTCTTTCTTTTTGTTTGTTTGTTTGTTTGTTTGTTTTTTTGAGTTGGGGGTCTCACTCTGCCATCCAGGCTGGAATGCAGTGGCATAGTCATGGCTCATCCCAGCCTCAACCTCCTGGGCCCAGGCGATCCTCTCACCTTAACCTCCCAAGTAGCTGGGACTACAGGCATGAGCCACCATACCTGGCTAATTTTTTTATTTTTTTATTTTTTTTGTAGAGACGAGATCTCACTGTATTGCCCAGGCTGATATCCAACTCCTGGGCTCAAGCATTCCTCCTGCATCAGCCTCCCAAAGTGCTGGGATTGAAGTCTTGAGCCAATGCACCTGGTCCCATTGATATAATTTTCAATAGAGATTCCACAGTAGTGGGAATCCCAATAGATTTTCCAAAAATAAATCACAATACTTTAACTCACAGAAACTTTAATAAGAGATCCACAAAACTTTTTAAGCACTGAGGGCTTAGTGTTGGAACAGCTTTGAAGCCTTGTGGACAAAGCCAGCTTATTATTCCATCATATGAGGAGCTGTGGTGTGATCTGGAAGGCACAGAACCAATATTGTGTTCAGTTGGATCTCTAGATGGAACATAATCACCACACCTCAGTTGATGTTCGTCCAGGATACTGGTTTGTAATGCTCCTACCCTTGTAAAAATCCTCATCGACTTTTAATTGCTATAAAGAACTCATATTCCATTACTCACTCCAAAGTTTGCACCACTTGGCTAACCTGAGAATGCATCTGCTGTACACATTATCTTTATGTCCTGTAGTGCTTTGAATACCTTTGGCTACATTAGAAGCTTTTGTTGATAAAGAATGAAGAGAGACTTTTATGCAGAGCATGTTTTCTGCCTAGTGTTGGCAGGATCTGGCAGGTCTTGGAGTTGGATGGGTACTGACAGAGAGGAGACTTAGGGTAGACCTTTACTGGGAACTACTCGGGTATTCTATTGGCAGTGATTGTATCTGTCTGGAAGAGAAGTTTCCATTCACCATCAATAATGGCTGTTGTGTGTGCATTTTGAAGTTCTGGTGTTATGTGCTCCTTCATTTAGAATTGTTAGGGCTCCTTGCACTGAATGCTTTATCATCATGTGATGTCATTCATTATTCCCTGGAATATTCTTGGTTATATCTCTGTTTCTGTAATCTATTTTGTCTGATATTAAGATAGCCATGTTAGTTTTCTTTCAGTTAATGTTCACAGACATATCTTCTGTCCTTTTATTTTTAATCTGTATATGCCTTCATATGTAAAGAAATTTTTAAGCAGCATATAGTTGGATCATGTTTTATAAAATCTAATCTGAAAATTTGTTTTTTAATTGGTGTGTTTAGATTGCTTATATTTAGTATTATCATTATATGGTTATATTAAGATCTATTTTGCTGGTTTGCACTTGTTAAATCTGCTTTTTGTTACTTTTTTGTCGTTTTTTGCAGTCTTCTTTAGATTAATTGAATATTTTTATGATTTAATTTATGCTATTGGTTTATTGTTTATACCTTAAAATGTGTTTAGTGGTGGTCCTGGACTTTATAGTGTATATCATTTTTGTTTGTTTGTTTTTGAGTTGGAGTCTCACTCTGTCACCCAGGCTGGAGGGCAGTACCTTCTTTCCACCTCAGCCTTCCAAGTAGCTGGAACTACAGGCACACACTACCACATCCAGCTAATTTTTTATTTATTGTAGAGACGAGGTCTTGCCAAGTTGCCTGGGTGGATCTTGAACCCACGGTCTCAGGCAATCCTCTCGCCTTGAGCTCCCAAAGTGTTGGGATTACAGGCTGAGCCACCGAGCCCAGCACAATATATATCTTTACTCTCAATCTACCTTCAAGTATATGTTGCTTCACACGTGGTGTAAGGACCTCTAAACAAGGCATTCCCAATTTATTCTTCCCATTCTTTGTGTGGTTGTTATACATTTTACTTTATATATGCTGTCAAACACACAATATACTGCTACAATTTTGCTTTAGATTACCATATATATTTTAGAGCATTTAAAAATGAGAAAAAATGAATTTTGTATCTACTTTTATGTGTGCCATTTCCAGCACTCTTCGTTTCTTTGTATAAATGCAAGTTTTTGTCTGATATCATATTTCTTCTACCAGAAGGATTCCTGCTGATATTCTCTTAGTTTTGGTTTGTCTGAAACAGTCTATATTTCTCCATTATTTTTGAAAGATATTTTTGAGTTGGTAGTTTTTTATTTTTAATTTTTCAGTACCTTAGAGATGCCACTACATTATCATCTAGCTTGCATGCTTTGAACAAGAAGTCAGTTGTACCTCTCATCTTTATTCTTCTCTGTGTTTTATATATCTACTTCCCATTACCCACCACCATACCAGCTACAGCCTTCAAGGTTTTCTGTTTGTTTTTGATTTTCAGAAGTTTTAGTATGTGTGTCTACTTTTTAAACATTTTTTTCTTTTTTTGGTATTTATCCTGCTTGATGTTTTCTGAGCACCTTGAATCTGTGGTTTGGGATCTTCTATTAATTATGTAGAGTTCTTACTGTCTCTTCAAACATTTCTTCTGTCCTATTCTTTCTTTTCCTCTTAGTATTCCAATTACATGTCTGAGAGACTATTTGATATTGCCTTACAGCTCTTTGGTCTTCTATTCTGTTTTATGCACCCTTTTTTTTATTTCCTCTTTGTGTTTCAGTTTGGGAAATTTCTGTTTACCTGTATTCAAATTTACTGTTTTTCTTCAGCTCTGTTCCTGTTAATGAACCTTCTTAATCTGTGTTATCATGTTTTTAAAATTCTAACTTTTCCATTTGAGTCTGTAGTTTACAACTCTCTGATAAAATTTTTCATTTGTTTGTGCATCTTGTTCACCTTTTCTATTAAAATCTTTAACAGATAAATCATAGTAATTTTAAATTCTCTCTCTGATAGTCCTAATATCTGAGTCATGTCTGAGTCTGGTTCTCTTGATTTATTCCTCCTTGATGGTTTGTTTTATCCTGGCTTCTTTGTGTCTTATAATTTTTGGTTGAAAACTGGATCTCTTGTTTGTAGCTGTAAATACGAAGATATTAATGCCTGGAAATGGGCATACCTCTGTTTTTTCTAGGCCTTTAGTGTGGATGTTGGGTTAATATAGTAAGGAATTGATCCATGTTTGGGTTTTTTCTGTTCCTATCGCTGCTCTCAGTGCATCACAGATTTCAGAATTTTCTATTGTTACGTTGTGTATGGGAAGGCATTGCATGCATCACTGTAGGGCTTGTCTCCCTGCTCCTGTTCCACCCTTAGCTTTAGACTTGAACATGCACATCAGAGAGGTTTTCACCTCTTGCTCTGCCTCTCCCCCAGCAGTAGACTTTGGTATTTGGTACTTGGTATTTGCTAGCCTGGAGGGTAGGAGGAAGGTATTCTGTTGTACTGATTCTGCCTCAGCCTTATGCAAGAGCTGTGTTCTTAGGTTTCAGGAATGGGTCTTCTTGATGATCCTTACCCTCTCTAGTTGTACAATCTCTCTAAAAGTCTGGGCCCAGGATATTTTTGATTTTTCCCCAAGGGTGAAGGGTTTTTCTTTTTTCCATTTCCTAGTAGCACCTGGTCTCAACTGGTGCTCTTAGGACAACAGAGTTTGCTGCCTTCCTCTAACTGTTTGAGGCTTTTTTGTTTTTTTTTTAGAGAAGATAGGGAGAAGGATCTGGGGGAGATTTTGTCTTTTCCACAGTGCTACCCTTCCCTCCTTGGGCCTTCTCCATGAGGGAGGCTTTGTCTGGTCTTGCATGTGCTCTCTGTCGTTCTTGTGAGTATTTGGTGAGATCTGTGGAGAGGAGCCTACAAGTGGGTATAAATTCCCTGTGGGAATGTGACTCCTAGGGGTTCCATATTCTATACTAGCCCACACTAGGCTTTTGGAAATTTGTCCCGTTTTTAGATGAATTCTTCTCACCACCTTGTATGGAGCCTGGCACCTGCCCTGGGTAAAAAAAAAAAAAGTGTCACACCCCATCTTTCTTCAGAGAAGCCTATCTTTCCTTATACTTCAGGACAGTTGGTTGTCCTGTGACATCAACTCTCTTGTGGGTTCTAGGAATGTTAAGCCTTTGTAAATTATACAACTTTTTGGTTTGCTTGTTTGTTTCAAGGTTAGGAACAACACTCTTTCCAGCTTTTTACATCTCTGGAAATGTTTTTTATTCACTTTTCAAGCCCTAAGATTTGGGTTTTGCTGCTTCATTTGGGTGCAGTTAAGTACTGATCCTCAAATGAACTAGCATTAAAAGCATGACTTATGTCCTTGCAGAAACTTGGGGACTGTGGCAGCCATGGAGCCAGTGTAGCGCCACATGTGGGGATGGTGTCAGAGAGCGTCGCCGAGTGTGTCTCACTTCCTCCCCCTCCAGACCTGGCTGCCCTGGAATGTCCCTGGAGACCTCCCTGTGTTCCCTGGAGGAGTGTGCTGGTAGGTATTCTTGCTTCCTTCGGGAGTCTCTCCTCAGTGTTCATCAGAAGAAATAATGAGACTACCCCTGCCTGAGAGTCACCAGTCTGAGTTCAGCAGTGGACTCATTAATGCTCTGTGATTACTGTTGATTGTACTAACCCTGTATTTGTTAGTGTGTCTAAGACTGGGAATGGCTGGCAGACTAGCTTACCAGTAAAATTACGGAACTTAACACTGGAGAAGATAGGGAAATGATGAGGAAATACATTAAGTCCCCTACATATGAACCTTCAAGTTATGAACTTTAACATTGCACACCTGCATTTTATTATGTATTACTTCTCTCCATCAGGTGTCAGTATAGCCTGTTAAATACATACAGTACTATACTGCTGATTGTGTTAGTTGGGTACCTAGGCTAACTTTGTTGGACTTAAAAAACTTGGACTTACAAACACATTCTTAGAAAGGAACTCATTCATTTGTTGGGGACTTCCTATATGCCTAAATTAAGGCTTCAGACATATTAAATAATTTTTTAAAATACCAAAATGAGTGTGATGGTGATCATTTTTTTCTAATTTTTTTGTTTTTATTACTGCTGACTTTGCTTCTCCCCATCAAAAATGTGGAAAAACAGTTTTTCTTAATTTCTCTTCCTGTCATCTGAGAGAAGCCCAAGGGGACCACAGAGACCATTATTTGTCAAAATGGGTTAAGACTTCCTGTCTTGTTCCCTGAGTGGCCCAAGTTTACCACCACTATGCAGAAGGAGGAGTTAGGAACATTTCCTCTTGCTATAACCTGGGGGCTGGCCTTTCCCCCATTTTAAGCGTTTTCAAGGCTCACTTTAGTAACTTTTCAATGAGTATTTGATGTAGATGATTCATAGACCCAGTTAAGTTTGCTTCAGTTTAGGGAGCTGAAGTTCATTCATTTACCAGGTTACAGCAATGAATGATTCTTACCCTTCCTCATACCATCCCACCTCTTGACACACAGTCCCAGTGAGTTGACCAGCCTTTGCTCTAGTCCTGACTCTTCAATAATGTCTCCTGTCACATCCTACCCTCTTCTACTCTCCAATTCCAGATTAAAAGACCATCTTTATTTCCTTGTTTCTTTGGGATTTAGAGGAGTTAGATGCTTTTGTGTGTTTGGCTCTCCAAGCACCATTTAGGCGAAAACACAAGCACCTGGCAACATCTCAGTGAGTGTCTTCACCTGTGTCCTTAGAAAATTTTTCTTGCTATTTCATCTTTTCAGCCAGCACCATGGGCCTTTTCTCTTAATTCCAGCACCTTGAGGATGCTGTTCTCTCTCCTGTCTTCTTCTCATGGCAGCTTCAGCCCCAGGATCTTCTCCCAGCCCTTTGTTTGCCTGTCAAAGGTTCTGGGCCCCACCTGGAATCCATTCTTTCTTCAGTTATATTTCATACTGTTTTCTAAGACTCTCTTCTCTGTCTACTCTTTTCTTTATAGGTCCTCTTCATGGCTAACACCTCCTTCCTTGTGTATAATTTTCTTCAAATACTCCTCATTGCCGAGCTCAGTGGCTCAGCCTGTAATCCCACGCCTTTGGGAGACTGTGAGTGGATTGCCTGAGCCCGTGGGTTCGAGACCTGCCTGGGCAACTTGGCGAGACCTCATCTCTACAATAAATCAAAAAATTAGCTGGGCGTGGTAGCACGCGCCTGTAGTTCCAGTTACTTAGGAGGCTGAGGCGGAAGGATCGCCGGAGCCCAGTAGGTCGAGGCTGCGGTGGCTGAGAGCATGCCACTGCCCTCCAGCCTGGGCAACAGAGTGAGACTCCAACTAAAAAAAAAATTAAAAAATACTCCTCATCCTCTCAATTCTGTGATGCCACATTGTGTTCAGACATTCCATCGAGTTGAGTAGTACTCAAATGGATTTAAAATCAGTTGCCACTAGCTTCTGCTGTTTTTTTAGAAGTAACAACAATATCAACCATTTATTGATCACCTGAGATGCACCAGCACTTTAAATAAATTATCTCACTTTAACCCCACCAAAATTCCCACAAGATAGGTATCATGCTGGGCTCAGACCTTGAGAGCTCACTGTATGCCAGGCATTTGCCTACATGTCCTACACATATAAAGTAGATTTGTTCTTATCTCTACATTACAGATGAGGACTCTGGGGTATAGATATGGTGAGTGGCCTGCCCAAGATCGTGAGGTTAGAAAGCAGGGCACTACATCTAACTCCATACTAAGCTACCATCTTGAATACTTTGCCTCTATATACAGGCCAATCTAGCTTTCTAGAAGATGTATAAAAACTTGGAGTTTACAGTTATTTTTATTTTACAAATGTGATATTCTGGCATCCAATTCTTTAATACTGGGTGAGAACTGGAAATTTATACATCGTAAATTAGCAAAACAGATTACAGACTCCCCTACTTCTACTATAAGTGATCCTCAGGTAAATGATTATGTGGATAAAAATGGTCATTTCTTTCAAGCGTTTCTCTTTCTTTCTCTTTATTTTTTTAAAGAGACAAAGTTTTACTCTGTCACTCTGGCTGAAGTATAGGGGTGCAATCATAGCTCACTGTAGCCTCAACCTTCTGGCTCAAGTAGTCCTCCTGCCTCAGCTTCCTGAGTAGCTGGGGCTGCAGGTGTGCACCACAATGTCCCGCTAAATTTTATTTTTTAATTTTTGTAGAGGGAGAGTTTCACTGTATTGCCCAGACTGGTCTTGAACTGACCTCAGGCAACTTCCCACCTCCCAAAGTGTTGGGGTTATAGGGTTGAGCTACCACACCCTCCCTCTTTTTTCTACTCAATACATTTTCCACTTCTCAGAAACAGGAATGTGAAGCTCTGTTTGCAGGCCATAGAGCAAGTCTCCTTCCTGCCAGGGGAAAGAGGAGAGACTGGATGAGACAGAAATGGGCAAGACCAGCAGCTTTTGGGCTTTTCTCCAGTAGTGGTGTTTAAGGGAGCCAACCAGAATCAAAAGATAACAGAGCCAAGTGAGGCAGTTCATAGCATGTAGTAGTGATGCTGCTACCCACTGTCAGCAGCAGCCTCTGCAGATGAAGGAAGAACTGTGTCTGAGAACAAGTCTTTCGTCATTCAACTGTTTTCAATTGGTTGAGAGTTCAGAGTTTTGGTTGGCTTTAAAAGAATGCTGTTTTACCATGGTATAAATGCAGCTCTACATTATTTGGTCTAGAGTAGGAGGAGCCTACTGCTATTACACCTATGTTCTATCTGGTGGAATATCATGCATTTTGCTATTGCTTTTATAAATGAATTAAATGTAAAAATGAATCAATTAAATGAATATTTATTGACTACCAACTGTGCAATTTACTATGACTATGGTTGGAAATATATTTATAAGACATGTCCCTGTCTTGAAGGGTTGATAGAATGTGATAGAATAGCTCAGAAGGCACATAAATGGGCTTAATACACAGTGCAATGCAGGGTTTTCAGTGATCGAGGTATCCACAGTTTGCTACAGAAGCTTGCAGGGGTGCTAATCCATGCTAGAAATGTCTCATTCTTGAAGGAGGTGATATTTGAGCTGAAGTTTGAGAGCTGAGGTGTCCCCCAGGCCAACTGGGTGAGAATGGGGGTTTTAGCAAAGGGAGCAGTAGATGAAGTCATGGAAGAAGATGGCACATTAAGAGGCCTGGAGCATTGAAAATAACTTGGTGTGGCTGGGGGATAGTATGCCAAGAGAGAGTGGGAGACATGAAGCCAGCCAGGTGGACAAAGGCTGGATCCTAAGGGACCTTGAAGGTTTGAACCTGCATTTTCAAGAGATTGTTCTGACTGTAGCATGGAATATAAGTCAGACAGGTAAGCATACAGTAGGGCTTTCTGTTAAGAGGTTTTTAGGAACTCATATGCAAAATGCAGTGTTGGCAGTGAGAGGAGGGTTCAAAGATTCTGGATGTGGTGAGTAACGGAGAGGGAGGCGTGAAGGCTGAAACCCAGAATTCTAGTACTGGTAACTGCATGGGCCTTGGTGCTGCTCCCTTGAGATCCAGTATTTCAGATGAAGTGCAGGTTCTAGGGGAAGATGATGAGCCCTGGGCATGATGAGAGAGAGGTAGTGGAACATCCAGTGAAAAGAGTAGAGCTAGTGGAGCCAGAAATGGAATCTAGATCTCCCTGCCTCCAGAATTCATGCTCTTCTCTCCAAACTGCGTGAATGTTCTCATTGAAGCCTGGAGGGAGAAAGAGTTACAAGAGGTATCTAGCATTAGCCAGTGATGCAGGTCGGAACTCCTTTGAATTTGACGATTAGGTCATTCATGACCTCAACAGGAGCTGTTTCATTGGAATCCTGGGGGGCAGGTGGCAGGAGACAGAAGTAAAGATGTGTGAGCAGTAAGTCAGCAAATGTGGACTCCTCTTCTGTAAGTGTGGCTAGGAAGACAAGGAGCAAAGTATGACTGTGGCAGTGGGAGAAGACTGGAAAAGAGTCTTTTAATTTTTTTATTTTTAAAATTATTATTGTTTTGTGTTGGGGTCTCACTCTGTCACCCAAAAAGGAGTGCACCATCACAGCTCACCGCTTTGACCTCCTGGGCTTAGGAGATCTTTCTTCCTCAGCCTCCCAAGTAGCTGGAACTACAGGCACATGCCACCATGCCCAAATAATTTTTAAATTTTTCTGTAGAGACGAGGTCTCACTATGTTGCCAAGGCTGGTCTCAAACTCTTGTACTCAAACAATCCTCTGGTCTTAGCCTCCCAAAGTGCTGAGATTATGGCGTGAGCCACTGCGTCTGGCCTAGGAGAAGAACCTTTTTAAAGTTAGAAGAGCTTGAGCATATTCCTATGCTGAGGAAAAGGAGCTACACAGAGGAGAAGCTGAGATAATTGCTTCAGAGGAATGATCTCCCAGAGAAGGATGGCCTAGAGAGCATTTGCTGGTAGCCTCAACTTTTATGGGAGGAAACTTCTTCCATTGATTGTGTAGAGAAAGAGGTCAATGATGCTGCTGGCAAGTTTGTCGGGGAGGGGAAGGTAGCAGAAGAAGCTGGGGGTGTACTTGCCTAATGGCTTCTGTTTTTTTGTGTGATCTACTAGGATGCTAAGGAAGTGTATTGAGTCGAAAGCTTGAGGGAGTGGTGAAATTTGGACCAGGTGTTATAGAGGACCCACAGAAGGATGTGTGGGCAGCTGAGTTTGGGCGCTGTGACTATACACTGGCTTGCATGGTTGTGGGATTTTCTCCACCAGTACTCAGAGCCTGGGTGTAGCAGCAGAGAATTCACATCTGGGTTTATCTAGGGTTGAACTTTTGCTGCAGAGCAGGGGAAGGTATATACCTCAGTGTTAGAGGTCAGTATTAGAGGTTGATGGAAGGAAAATGGTTTCAGTGATAGATCCCTGGTATAAGATCACAGTTAGGGGCAGAAGTAATGCAGGAAGGTGGCTGGCAGGTGGGAGAAAATGGAGGCTTGGAGAATGAGAAGTCTGAGTGCGGTTGAATCATCTAGTGTTGTAGTAGTGAATAAGTGAGAGAAATAGGCACAGTCAGAGTGGGCCAAGCAATTTCAGATTTCAGAACAGGAGCAGCTGCAGGCAGTGAGAGGATATGACATGTTGGAGGGACCAAGAGTTGCCTGGGATGGTCCTAGCTCTGAGCTAGTGAGACAGCCTGGGACCCAGGTACTAGAATGATTGACCGCTGGTGGGAAGATGGGAGATGACAGTGTTGAGGGAGGAGTAGAGGGTGGTCTAGGTGGATGGCACGGGCATCGCAAAGTGGAAGTCTTATAGGGAGGTGAGGGAGTGTGGGTTGAAAATGGCAAATGTACTTGGGTAGCACACCCTGTTGTTGGCCCTATTTGCTTGTAAAGGGTGTGACTCCTCCCACTGAAGGGTTGGGGGAAGCCGTGCCCTGTGGATAGCCAGGTCACAGGTAGGACAAGGGGGTGAAGGAGGTGTTTTGTGGAAAGGTTAGGGATGTTGAGGAGTTTGTAATCAGGTGACCCCTGGGGTATAGTAGAAAGGAAGGTGGATAGTGGGAGGGTGGTTGAGGAGCCGAAGCACAGACATGGCAGTGATAGGCAATAGGATAGGTGACCAGTAGGGAAAGAGGGGAGGGTCAGGTGCTAGTGACTGATGGGGTCTTAGGTTACTAGGTGTTTCAGTGGCAGTACCCTCAGAGGCTTCAGGTGGCGCCCACATCTTGATGGACATTTTTATGATGGTCAGGCAAACCAGTTTGAGAGAGCAGGGGAAAAAGAAGAAAAATCCAGCTAGGCATGGTGGCTCACACCTGTAATCCCAGCACTTTGAGAGGATGGGATGGGAGAATTGCTTGAGCCTAGGTGTTTAAGACTAGCCTGGGAAACATCGCAAGACCTACAAAAAATAAGTCTCTACAAAAACAGACAAATAATTAGCCAGGCATGGCAGCACTTGCCTGTAGTCCCAGCTATTAAGGAGGCTAAAGTGGAAAGATTGCCTGAGCCCAGGGGGTTAAGGCTGTGGTGAACCATGATGATGCACTCTATTCTGGGTGACAGAGTGAGACCTCGACTCAGGAAGAAAGGAAAGGAGTGAGAGAGGGAGGGAGGAAGAAAGGGAGGGAGGGAGGGAAGGAAGGAGAAAGAAAAAAATCCATGCCACTTGGAAAGTAGGAGGGGAGTGGACAGCTGAAAATAGAAAAATGAGAACTCAGAGGACTTAACAACTAGGAAAAACAGTTTCTGGATATGAGAAGGGGGAAGTGAGTTGTATTATATTGTGACAGCTTTATTTTCATCAATTCATTTCTCTAAGATGTGCAAATTTAGGCTACCTAAATTTAACCTGCCTAAATAATTTTGTTTCAAATTGTATACTCGGTAAGAATTTTTCAGTGTGTCTCTCATGGGTACATTTAACTACAGATACCATGTTTACAGTATTGGAAGCAATAAATCTGGATTTTTTACCTTGAAATTTTCTACATGCTGCTTTTATGTAGAAAATGTAAGGTGAGTTTAGCAGGAGCTGGTGAGCATAAGAGTTGCCTTGATAGTGGCTTATGGGGTCAGCTCACTTCTGTGGGCTGGTGGTGACCTTGTTTGGCCTCAGCTGCCAGCAGAGTTCCATGTATTAATATAAGACCAGAGATCTCTGTCCTTGTTTATCTTCCTTCTTTCCTTAACTACAGGATAATTAGAGCAAGCCACTCAGAGGTCCTAAAGCCATACAGAGAAAACCATGCTGGATAATACATTTGCTCTTCCATTTTGTTTTTTGTTTTTGTTTTTTAGTTTTCTGGCCATCCAGTCCATCTCCACTTCAGCCCCAGGGCCCGGTGAAGTCCAACAACATCGTGACTGTCACTGGGATCTCCCTGTGCTTGTTCATTATCGTTGCCACCGTGCTCATCACACTGTGGAAGAGGTTTGGCCGCCCCCCCAAGTGCAGCACCACCACTCGACACAACTCCATCCACTCCCCAGGCTTCCGGAAGAACTCAGATGAGGAGAACATCTGTGAGCTGAGCGAGCGGCATGGGAGTGTCTCAGATGGGGGGGACGGGCCCGTGGGGACTCCCGGGGAAATGGGCATCCCTCTGACCTACAGGAGGAGTGTGCCAGTCACTCCCGAGGACGATGCCTCTGGCAGCGAGAGCTTCCAGTCCAACGCCCAGAAGATAATCCCCCCTCTGTTTAGCTACCGCCTGGCCCAGCAGCAGTTGAAAGAGATGAAGAAGAAAGGCCTGACAGAAACCACCAAAGTGTACCATGTGTCTCAGAGTCCCCTGACAGACACTGCTGTCGACGCGGCTGCCAGCCCCCCCTTAGACTTGGACAGCCCAGAAGAAGCTGCAGCAAACAAGTTCCGAATCAAATCCCCATTTCCAGACCAGCCTGTGGTCAGTGCCGGGGAAAGGCCTCCCTCCAGACTGGATTTCAGCGTGTCTCCTGCCAGTTGTGCCGTCAGCCCCAGCCAGACCCTGATCCGCAAGTCTCAGATGAAGCATGTGGGCGGCAGAGGGGGCCCGATGGAGAAGGGCCATGCCAGGAATTCTCATTTCAGGAGGACAGCTAGTTTTCATGAAACCAAGCAGCCCCGGCCATTCAGGGAGAGAAGCATGTCCACTGTGACTCCACGGCAGGCCCCCACCTACAGCTCTAGGATGTGGACCTGGGACCAGGCAGAGGACAGATTCAAGTCTCAGAGTCGAGGCACCCATCCGTTTCCTGAGAAACTGGAACATTTCCAAGGGGCCGGTGGAACCAGTGGTCCATTAAGCTCTCTCCCTAAATCCTACACCTTGGGGCAGCCCTTGAAGAAACCAGACCTGGGGGATCGCCAGGCAGGATTAGTGGCAGGAGTTGAGAGAACAGAGCCTCAGAGAGCTCGGAGGGGACCGTCCCCCAGTCACAGGAGTGTCTCAAGGAAGCAGTCTTCCCCCACTTCCCCCAAAGATAGCTACCAGAGGGTCAGTCCCCTGAGTCCTTCTCAATGTAGAAAAGACAAGTGTCAGAGCTTCCCTGCCCACCCTGAGTTTGCCTTCTATGACAATACGTCATTTGGCCTTACTGAGGCTGAGCAGAGGATGCTGGACCTCCCAGGATATTTTGGGTCAAACGAAGAGGATGAAACCACAAGTACACTTAGTGTGGAGAAACTGGTCATCTAGACCAAGAATCAGTTGGAGACTTTACACAACTGGGATCAGCTGCTCACGTTGTTCTGGGGTTGTTTTATAGAACTTTATACCATAGGACAGAATGTGGGGGGAAAATGACTCACACAGAGGAGGATGTGTGTGTATGCATGTGTTTTATTTCATAAGGAAAAGTTATTTATGCCGAATTTTTTCTTTTTCTACCAAATTTCTATTTGTTGATTACTAATAACTGATAATAAAATTTAAATTAAAAAATGGAGCTTGGTCTGTCGTGTGGATATGAAAGACGTTAAGATGTGACTTGTATAATATGCTTTGAGTCCTGCATTGGCAATTTCTAACCGGAAGCCCAAATCTCAACTAGTAAGGGTTGGAGCAACTTGGTATCAGAACTCTGAATTGTAATTTATTAAGTTATCAATGTCTTGAAGGCTAGGCATTGTGGCTCATGCCTGTAATCCCAGCACTTTGGGGGGCTGAGGAGGCAGGAGTGCTTGAGGCCAAGAGTTCAAGACCAGCCTGAGCAACATAGTGAGACCTCATCTCTAGAAAAAAATCAAATAAAAATAAAAAATAAGCCAAGTGTGGTGGCATGCATATGTTGTCCCAGCTACTTGGGAGGCTGAGGTGAAAGGATTGCCTGAGCCCAAGAGGTCAAGGCTGCAGTGAGCCACGATTGGGTCACTGCAATCCAGCCCGGGTAACAGTATGACCCCAGTGCAAAAAAATAATAATTAAAAATAATTATCATAATACAATAAGAAAGGAATTGGCAGTAATGGGAAACTGCCAGGAGAGACGGGCACACCTCATCAACAAGGGTACCCGCATAATGAACATTTGTATACCTAACTGTTAATTGTACCCCGCATCCTTAAAATTAAAAATAAAAAAAAATACATACATTAAGAATTTAACTCCTACTGGGGCAGTATTGATCAAGTTTTATATTTAGCTGACTAAGTTAACTAGGTTATGAAGCTACTTGGAAATGGTGATACCTCAAGATAGTCCAGAAGAACATTCAGACCAGAGTGATATCTTAAATTTTTTTTAATGCAACAAGGAGTCCAAGTGACTTAACAAAAGTATGTGAACTAATTTCTGCTTTGGAGAAATAACAAAAGAAGCTGGTTGTTCAGATAGTAAGTCAAATGAAGACCTATCTTTCATTGTTTTGAGCAAATAGTGAACATTTCGGAAGGGAAAGTATTGTCTTCTGAGAAAGCCTCTGATGGAAAATGGGCAGCATATACTTACCAGGTCACTGCCTGTTGCCAGGATGCTGGTCATGTGTTCCTGGGCCATACCAGCTGCAGAGACCCCAGAGGAGGTCTTCCTGAAACTGGTGTATGTATTGTGTTATTAGGACAATGCATTAATTTACTTTAAGTATATAGAAAGCAGGTAGACCAGTTTATGATGTAGAGTTTAAGTTTTGTTTTTGTTTTTGTTTTTTTTTTAATTAGGAGAAAGAGTTAAAGAGGACAATAGAGGAAAAAAGTCTTTTTGGAAATTTAGAATCACTTTTATTTGCTCATTAAATCTCCCACATTTTATAGACAAGGCATTTGAGACTCAGGGAGTATAATTAACAGGATTGCATAGGACATGGACTGATACCTTAATTCTAAGTCCTGTACTCTGCACTGTGTCATCACAGCCTTGGCAAGTCTTCTTCAGTGGCAGAAACTTCAGGAGAAAGCTGGCTCTTTTTGCAATAAAAGGGCACAGACCCCTCTACTAGCTTTCCATGATGCTTCCTACGGCTTGGTGAGGTGTTAGGACCGGCCTTGCAACTTTCTTTGTTTGACAGTCAGGACTAAGTAAAAGAACCTTCCTTTATTGGAAGTCTGTCATCAGTTACCATGTGGAAACTCTCCAATCTCATGTACTTCCTTTCAGCCCTTGGCCCTAATGACTTATCTACAATTTCCTTTTTCACAGTGGCCTCTCTAACTGCCACACCCACCCTGCCTTTTAGATTATGTTTCTCTTCTTCCTTTTAGAGTTTATCAGGACAGTTGGAGAGAGTGGAATTCGTTGGGAGAAAAAAATCACAAATGCAAATACCGTAGTTTTAAAAGTTTCTCCCATATTTGTTGCATTACCATTTCATGTGTGCCATTTTTGTTGAAAATCAAAATATACCACCTTTTGGGAATGCTTTAATAATAATATAACTACCTTTCAGGAAGAGGAGGGGTAGATTATTCAGAGCCGTCTGACAACTGGTATGTGCTGATGTGAAGGGGAGGAAACCAGGCTTTTAAATCTTCATTTTCTTTGTTTATCTTACTAGGAAGCTTTGTTCTTTTTCCAAGTTCACAAGCCTGCCTACCAACCTTTGAGGACAGAGGGTACATACTTGCTTCTTCCAGATTTCACGGTGACTTACTGCAGTGTCACACAGAGACCAAAACAGCTATGGGAATGGTGAAAACTGGAAAATACTATGAATAGAAATGCTTTCTGTTAAATTATTCTCTTCACTAAGTTGATAGTGAGCTAACAACAGCATGTAACATGTTCACTATCTACCTAGCCCTGTTCTCTGGGATTCTAATCATAAGTCAATCTTTATATTTCAAAGTTAAGCTATTTTGGCCTTTGCCTCTGTGAAGAAGGAAAGAAGATGCCTCAGCATTGTACTTGGTGGATAAGTGTCAAAATTCATTAGAAATAACTTATTCTTTACCATTGTGTCTCTAGGTCCTAGCCCTCGTGGCTGTCATAGACTAGGAGCTCAATAAAAGTTGGTTGAACAAAATGACCAGCTATTTGAAAGCCCTCAAACTGTTTGGGGGGAATCCCCCCAAAACTTGAATTTATTTATAAAAAATTGTGTATTTATTCTTAAATGTTTAAACTTCAGCCACCCTTAAAGTACTCTTCATTTGATGCAATACACCTATAGAGATGCTTTTCCTTTTCTTTTTCTATTTTTTTTTTTTGAGTTGGAATCTCACTCTGTCACCCAAACTGGAGTGCCATGGCACACTCATGGACACCCCAGCGCTGACGTGGGCTCAGGCATTCCTTCTGCCTCAACCTTCCAAGTAGCCAGAACTACAGGCACGTGCTACCGCACCCAGCCATTTTTTTTTTTTAATTGCAGAGATGAGGGCTCATCAAGTTGCCCAGGCTGGTCTTGAACCCGTGGTCTCAGACAATTCACTCACCTCAGCCTCCCAAACTGCTGGGATTACAGGTTGAGCCACCGAGCCTGGCCAGAGACACTTTTTCCACTACTCAAAACAGTTTCTGACCTCATCAATTTTGATACCTTTTAGTGTTTCTGCTGTTTTTTTTTTGTTTTATCTCTTCCACCTTGGCAAATGTTTCCCTTTGAGGACTTTTTTCATCTGGGGAAACAAAAAAAAAGGTCACAGGGCAAAACTGGGTAAATAGGGAGTGTGGAGCACAGGGCATGCTATTTTTAGTTAAAAACCACTGAACATTCAGCATGATGTGGGTGTTATCATGGTGGAAAACCAGTCACCTGTTTTCCATAACTAAGGATGTTTCTTCCACAAATTGTGATGCAACCTTCTCAAAAAAACTCCAGATAAAAACTTTGGTTGACTGTTTGGTCTGAAAGAACAAATTCTGAATGTACAACAAGGGACCCTCCCTTCCAAAGATAATTCCAGTTTTTTGGGACTCTCCCCTCTTATTTGTGGTTGAATTAGAATAATTCTATATGATGCTTTAAATCTTAAACCCTTGTGAAGAGGATGTATTCCCATGAGATGTCATGAGATTTTAATTTCTCGGGTTCTCCATAAATGAAAGGATCCTCATTTTTTTTTTTTTTTTTGGCTGTTTTCCTGACTGAAGGTGATGCTATATCTGGAGTCAATTTCTGTCTCTGTACACAGTGGTCACTTAATAAGTATTGAATGTATATGAGAGTGGTCTCTGAGGAGATGCTTTCCCTTCCCAGTAGTCTCCACCTTTCACTCCACCCTCCAGGGTCTTCCCTAGCTCTTTGAGGCCAATGCTCCCCAATTGTGACTTCTGCTTAAGTGGGTTCAAAAGAGCTAGGAGCATTCAATGTGCCAAGCCCTAGCCACCACTGCCAAATGATGATCCAGCCCTTCCTACCAATATTTCCTCCTCAAGTCCTACTCCACATAAACCTATCCCACAAAATATATAAAATGCTGTTTTATGACTTTGGTCATTTATCATTTTATGCTAGATATATAGCTATATAAAATGATATTGTATACTTCTGGGTCATTTTTATACAAAAAGGATGATTAATTTCCTAGAGTAGCTCACAGATCTCAGAGAAACATGTTTACTGGTTCATTATAAAGGCTATTCCAAAGGAGAAAGATGAAGAGATGCATAGCACGAGGCATAGGGGAAGAGGCACAGAGTTTCTATGCCCTCCAGGCTTACCATCCTCCAGGAACCCTCTGTGTACTCAACTATCCTGAAACTCTCTCTGATCCTAGTCCTTTTGGTTCTTTATGGAGCCCTCATTATATAGGCATGGTTGATTAAATCATTGGCCATTGGTAATCAACTTAGCCTTCAGCCTCTTTCCTTTCCCCAGGAGTTGGGAAGTGGGATCAAAGTCCCAACCATCTCATCATGCCTTGATCTTTACAGTGACCAACACCCATTCTGCAGCTACCTAGGGCCTGCCAGTCACTAGTCAACTAATTAACCTATAATAGGACACATATTGCTCTGAATATTCCAAGGATTTTAGGACTTGTATGCCAGAAGACTGAGGGGAAGCCCATATATACATTTCACATACAACACACACACACACACACACACACACACACACACCCAGAATCAATCCAGAGAGGGTCCAAAAAGAGACAAATAGGAATTCCAGAAAGAGCAAGAAGACTAAGTGAGGAGAAAGCAAAGAAATAATACGATAAAACATTTTCACACCTTGCTGAAAAAGTGAGCTTTCATTGAAAAAGAGCCTCCTGAGTGTTCATTAGGGGGAATGAAAAAGGCCACATATTATTTGGAAGTTTCAGAATAAGTTATATAGAAGACCCTAAAAGCTGTCCAGGGGTTAGGGAACACAAACCTCTGCAAGAAACAAGAATCATGCTGGCATTAGATTTTTTCATCAGCTACACAAGAAGCCATGGAATAATAGCTTCAAAGTCAGGGGAAATGATTTCCAACTTGAGACATCTATACTCAATCAAATTAATTGTGAGGGCAACAAGAAGGCATTGTTAGGCATGTAAAGACTCCAAAAGGT